GGGTATTTTCACACAAAGGAAGTACACATCGTATCCATGCATTGATATAAATCCTTAGAAAATGCAAATTAATCTATAGTGACAGAAATGAGACAAGTGGTTGCCTGACATTGTGGAGGCAGAGATGGGTGAGAGGGAGATTTTGAAAGGCACAAAGAAGTTGCAGGGGGTGATGGTTATATTCATTATATTGATAATGATGGTGGTTTTGTGGGTGTATGCATATGTCAAAACATATGAAAGTGTACACATAAAATATATGCAATTTATTATAAGTCAATTACACCATAATAAAGCTGTATTAAAGGAGGAAGAGGGTCCAGTTGTTGACTTATCAGGTCATGCTAACTGATGAAATAAGAAAAACAAAACAGCAAAACAAAATAGACGGATCTTTGCCTTTGGAATTAGTTACGGTGATATCATACTGGATTAGGGTGAGCCAAAATCCAGTATGACTGGTGTCCTTAAAATAAGAGAGAACACAGAGACACAGGGAAGGAGGCCGTGTGACTAAAGAGGCCAGGATTGGAGGGCTGCAGCTATAAGCCAGCAAGCGCCAGAAGCTAGGGAGAGTGGAGGAAGGCTTCTTCCCTAGAGCCTTCAAGGGACACGGCCCTGCAGACATTGCTGTTGGACTTGCAGCCTCCAGAACTGTGAGAGAATACATTCCCAGCGTTTCAAGCCACCAGTTCATTTGTATAACTTGCTAAAGCAGCCGTAGGAAACCATACAGCATCTATGAATCTTAGCTAGTTCCAAAGATTTTCCGTATAGTCATTCATTCATGAATAGTTAGTAAATACAAACTGTGTGCCAGGCATTCTTTTAGCAATGAACAAAAACAAAGAAAAATCTCTGCCTCCATATCTCAGAGACAGAAAATAATCAAAATAAAGAAGTAAAATACATAGTCTGTCAAAAGGTAATTAAGTTCAGCAAGCGGTCCTACAGAGTGAGGTGGCATATTAGTTTCAAATTTGAATAAATTAGATACTCCCAGAGGATTCTGATCCAAACATTGAACCCAGTATTCTAGTACAGACGGTCCCCAACTTACAATGGTTCAACTTACAATTTTTCTACTTTACGATGGCATGAAAGCAATGTGCCTTCAGTAGAAACCATACTTTAAATTTTGGATTTTGATGTTTTCCTGGGCTAGTGATATGCAAGCCGCACCTCCCAGCCCCACAAACAGGAGGGGAACGACTGATACACTCACAACCATTCTGTACCTCAACAACCATTGTTTTCCACTTTCAGTTCAGCATTCAGTAAATTACCTGAGATACTCAACACTTTATTATAAAATAGGCTTTGTGTTAGATAGTTTATGCCTAACTGTAGGCTGATGTATGTTTTCTGAGCATATTTAAGGTAAGTTAGGCTAAGCTGTGATGTTTGGTAGGTTAGGTGTATTAAATGCCTTTCAACTTAACGATGTTTTCAACTTACAAAGGGTTACTGGGACGTAACTCCATTGTAAGTCAAACCTGATCTGAATTGTCATTCTTGTGACAAATGGAACAACACGTAAGGGTGTATGTGGGAGAGAAGTCTCCCTCTCTCACGTCAGAGTTCCTGCTGTAAAACTGGGAAAACCATCAGCCCTAAAGCTCACTGCAAAGGAAAAAGAAGGACACACTAAGCAAAAATCATCAGGGCTAAGGGGAGAATTTCTAAGGATTTTGTGACTAATACACACTTGTTGGCTGACTTATAACAGATTACATTATAATTTATTATGTAATTATATACCTTATATAAATTATGAATAGCCATTTACCATTCAACAAATGCCCTGGCACACACAACAGAATCGGTTCAGCTCTACAAAACCACTCTTAAGAGAGAAAGAAGCCAAGGGAGATGCTGGACAGAAAAACTCTTATCATCCAAGAGTCTCGTGAAATTATCCCTCCAGCAAAAGAAAGCGCTAGAACCGTCTGAGAGGTCACCCCTCAGTGGAGATGTTCTGTCTACACTGTCTAATATAGTAGCTACTGGTCACGTGTGATTGATTATTGAGCACTGGAACTATGACTAGTAAGACTGAAAAACTGAATTTTGTATTTGATTTAATTTTACGTACTTTAAATAACCACATGTGGCCAGCAGCTACTGTATCGGAGAGCATAGCTCTAGAAATCACAGAATGTTGGCAGTGGAGAAAAACTCGAGAGCCTGTTAAATCTGAGATGGGACCAGCTCCACTTTTAAAGGCTAGAACCAGAGATTTGAATTTGGCTTTGACACCAAAATCCATACTCAACCCACCAAGGCCCGCCATCTACAACACCTTCTACTATTGTGATATCTTCCATGCCCACTCTCTCAGGTAGGAAAGTCCAGACTTTCTCTGAATCAGAGCCTGAAACACAAACATATGTGTGCACATGTGTGTACACGTGTGTCCGAGTAGATTTTGTGGAACAGGTAAGTCTGAGGGTTACTTGAGTGCTTAGTGTGGATCTAGTATTCCAGACGAATCAGTATCCTTTAAACAACCGGACCCATTTTCCACTTAATCAGGCAAGAACAGGATGTATGAATGCATGCGTGTTGACTAACTTTTTAAGGCCAAAGGGGCATGTTAAATAAACCTTTCTTCCTTGGACACATTCAGCAAAAGCTCTATATCCCAGCTTTCTTGGTCCTCAGGGAGCTCACATTTCCCAGGCCGTCAAGACACTCCGAAACCTTCAGACCACAGGGTGGCTGGAGGTAAGGGAAAGAGGGAAACTGAGCAATAGGGCATCTCATTAACGGGATGGAGATTTGAAAATACCAATTTCAGAGGACGATGCTAACTCTGGAAATACTGAGCTGCTCAGCTTCTCCCCCAATCTCCTGTTTGCCCCCAACAGTGAAGAAGGGCAAGCGAGGGACTTGTGGGGTGATAGAGCCAGCAAGTGCTGAAATCCAGGGGAACCATGGTGGGAAACGTGGCTCTTCCAGAACAGAACCATAGCTGGCTTGTGGCAGAAGCACTGATGCTTGCTGTGCTGTCGGATTAAGATTTCTGCACCATCAGGAGGAAGGTTTCTGATGGGATTAGTTTTGTATCTTTTTTAAAAGTTTCACTATGCCTGGAATTATACTTGATGAGATTAATAAAGCAATTCTTATTTGTCTCTTTAACCTCCTGGAAGGTGAACTGAGTACTGTACTCCTATCCTGCAAGGAGCTGTCTGGGAAGAACTCCTTTTCCCTAAATAAAGCTTTAGGGCATTGTGAGGTTTTGAGATTTATGTGATTCCACACTCAAGTAACTCTAAAAATTGAGCCCAGTACTCACATATGTCTACGCAGACAGCTAGTCTATCCTCTCAATCCCCAGAAGCCTGGCTTTGGGGACTGGTTTTTAGTGTAATTTCACACAACAGAACAACTGATACAGACAAGCTGGTGAATGTTGTGACAAAAACCGATTTTGTAACTTTTAAAAAATGCATTGTTTCTTCTCAATCTCTCCAGGTTATGCCCCAAATTAATGTTTTATGATATGTTTAATTTCAACACTTTCAGCTATAATGTGCGTCTTTGGAAAATGATCACCAGTAAGTTCTGGCTTCGCTCCCTTTCTGGGAGTAGTAGGCATTCCTCTGCAGATTTGCTTGCATCAATAAATTACTTTTAAAAGAGAGAGAGACTTACAAACTACAAATGTGCACAGAGAAGTTGTCGTAGTCTTACTCAAGAGTGAGTCCGTCTTTGTAGTGCATTGTTCTCAGAAGCTTCCCGCGGGAGGAAAGCTTCACTTTATGAATGGCTGGGACAGCTTCCCTGGGAATGCTCAGCCGGCCGCTTTCCTGATAAGCTCGGAGCTCGGAGCGCGCAGGGCTCGGTCAGGGATGACAAGCAGCGCAAAAAGCGCCTTACACTGCCATCCACCGGCCCTAAGCCGGTGGCATCCGGAGTGGGGCGCCCGCCAAAGGAGCTGGGAGAACGTCCCAGCAGGATCCGACACACCACCACCTTCCTCCCACCCGCGCAGCCCTCCGCCCCCCACCAAAGAGCGGGCACTGGTGCCCGGACACCCAGCAGCCGGGACCGCGCAGCAGCGAATGGATTCCTGGGCCCTCCTGACACACAAGAAGAAGGGCAGCGCAAACGAGACGTGGTCCCTGAGGGCTCAGGACCGTGAGGACCGTCCGTGGTGCTCTTCCCTACCTTTCCTCTCCCAAACCAGGGGCGACGCAGTCGCTTCACAAGACAAGGTCCGAGCCCGCCAAAGCCGGAGCAGCTCGAACCTGCGCCCCCCGGCGGCCGGCGCCAGGTGTGCCAGGGTGAGGGTAAGCCTCAGACACAAAGTTTGCGCGCAGGGGACGCAGGAGTTGCCAGCACCCTACAAATGGGACCGGTTCGGCGATGCCCACGCTCAGAGGGTCCAGTGATAACCGGCACCACAAGAGGCAGGGGAACCGAGCGCGGGTCGGGCTCAAGGAGAGACGGAGACCCAGGCGCGCGCCTTTGGTAAAGGAGGCTTACGACTGGGGCAGGCAAGGCTGCGCGATCCTTCCAGATGCCGGGCTTCCGCGACGCTGGCGCAGAGAAGCCGTGGACCCCCAAGGGGCAGGTTGCGTCGGCTCCTGTAGCCTCCTCAGGCACCCGGGCGACCCCCGAGTCCCCTTGACGCGTGGGGGGCGCCGGGTGGAAGAGGGACAGTGAGGACGCTTCTCCAAGGGCCGTGGCAACGCCCCTGGCAAGGAGAACTCGGTCTCCGCACCGACCCGACAACTGCTTTCAAAGAAACCCTACCCACGACCCTGGGAGGGTTCTGGACGCTGAGAGACCCGGATGGAGGACCGTGCGCCCGGGAACTGGTTGCGGGGTGCTGAGCGCGGGGCTGGGAAAGATGAAGCTCACCGACGGCGCGGAAAGAAGGTGGCACGGAGGGGAGGGGAGTGCGGGGCAGGAGGGTTTGACCCTGAATTCATCTGGACTGAGAGGTCTTCCGACCTGTTTGACTGCAGAGCGCAGTTCGTGGATCTTACCCGCTCCGGGGCCCTGGCTGGGCGGTAGCGCTCTTCCGGAGCAAGGGCAGGGGGCCGTTTCGTGGAGAACATGTCTCCCTTTTTCCTCTGTCCACTCTTATCTTGGTCGCTTTTCTCTCCTGTACGTGCCCCTGGGAGAGGCACTACAGATACCTTGCTCCTCGCTCAGTAAGAGACAAGTTGAACTTCAAGCGACAGGGGCCCCACATTTTGTCAGTTCGACAGATCCCACCCGCGGACCACTCCCTCCCCTCCCCCGCGTCTCTGGGTCCCACCCATAAAACCCCTTAATGACAGATACTCCGCAGCCCCACCTCTTTGCTTTCAAAGAAGTTATTTTTCTGGGGCAGACGGGAAGCCAAGCGGACTGCTAGTGCTCCACCCCGTGCCCACCTCCAAACTTAGACCCCGCGACGGCAGCACTGAAAGGATGAGACCAGAATGTGTGGGCTGTGGCAAACAGGAATTGGGAGCAAAGGAGTTACTTCTCGGCTCTCCGAAATCTCACCACATCCTACTTTACTATCTTTTGGCGAGACCGTCGCCAAATAAAATGAAAATAACTGTAGGCACTGGCAGTTAAAGGCCAAGTTTGTTATCTCAACGAAAATTTTCGTTCCTAGGGCGAACATGATTTTCATTAAGCAAATGTAAATTTGCTTTCTGTTACGTGTTTAGTGAAGAAACTGCGTTCCAAGACTGCCGAAGACTTTGCTGAGGCTGCAGGGAGCCGGGAGAACCCGAGCCCGCTTGCATAAACCTAGCAAGCGGTTTGCTGCGGAGGGCACCCACAGGCTGGACCTTGCGGGCCAGCAACTCGGGGTCTATCATTCATCAGCGTCAAGGAGGGCACTGAAGGTATTTACAACGGTAAACACTACCCAAGATAGTAGTCATAGGTTTGGCAGAAGAAAAAAAAACATTGTTTTTCTTAGAAATTTTTTTTATCCAACTTCAGTCAAAATCTAATGACAATTTCAAAAATTGCTCATGAGGTTACCGAATAAATCTATCTCCATTATTCTGGAGGAGGCAATGCACAATTATCAAAGATATGTATCTGTTCCTTGAATATTAGAGCTGGGGGTGTAACTTGTAAAATTTGGGAGTGGGGATCAGTATTTTGTTTTTGAAGTGAAATGAGAAAGTAGAAAATATTGCAAGTGCATGGTACAATAATTGAAGTAGGGAGTTGAAGTAACCAGCTTGAGTTTACACAGCCAGCAAGTGCTGAGTTGGGATTCTGCAGAGGCAGTGTATTTCAGGACTGTGTTCTTCTGAGATACTGCCCCATCACAGGTCATCACCGCAGGGACACCAGTCTGAAAATCAGGAGTCCAGGCAATTTGCCCACTAGCTCTACCTTGAGCAAATCCCCTAGGGTTTCCAGGCCAGTGAACTTGGTCTATAAAATAAGCATTGGAGTCAATCCTCAAAAGTTTCTACAGGCTTTCTGAAGCCACATATGAATGTGGCACTACTTCACCTCCTTTCCCTTCCACTTTCTGCCCTCTGGTGGAGGGTGCTAGAGAAACTGTGGAATTAAAGTAGCGAAATCAATGAATTTGAGATAGTCAGAGTAGGTCAGGCTCCTCTCTTCCAGAGAACTGTTCTTCCGAGAACTAAAGCTGACTGCATTGATGGTGTAAAAAAGCATTAAACTTCCTATTAGCAAGAAAACCCAACCAGTTCTAGTTACCAGTGGTACCTGAGTAAATACTTGAGGTATTCTTTGCATGAGGATAAACAGCTATTTTTATATTCTTTGTAACAAACCTCTGTAATGTAAGAAATCATAAAAAAGTAAGAAATCATAAAAAAAGAAATCATAATTTGAATATGCAGAGGTCTCACAGTAATCTTCAATGACCTATTTGAATTATTCCTTTAAAAAAAATCGCTACACTTGCTTTTCAACTTAAAGAAACAATCATCATATACTTTCTTAAAATACTTTTCATTTTATAAAAAGAAACAGTTATGGCCTTTCGAAAGGCAGAGCCTTTAAAATAAATAAATAAATAAACAAATAAAAAAATATTTAAAAAATGAAGCAAGAAACAGGCAAACTGAACCTGCGGCAGGGATAGAGTTTATTTAAATTAAAAGGAGACAACAACATACCCGGAAGTGATACAGTCCAGCACACTGAAACATTCTGTATATAAAAGTAGCCCAAGCAGACATTCTGTTTGCCGTATTTATTTCTGGGGCATCAATCCCTTACTCAACACACCAGAGTGGTCACTGGGAAGAAGGTAATGAGAACTGGCCCATGAACAGTTGCAGAGGAATTTTATTTCTAGCACCTTGACATACCTAAGTGCCAGTTTCTCCCACCACCGGGATCCCATGCTGCCATTTGACTGTCCAAATCCTGCCTGGTCTTGCTAGGGATAGTACCCCCTCAAGGACCACGACCACATGAGCAAATACTGAGGTGCCTCAGTTCACAATATTTTTTTCTGACTTGTGAATCAATTTGCAAGAGAAGTTAGGACATTTTTAAGTCACATTATCTGTATTATTATAGCTAAGAATTTCTAAGCACTGTCAGGCACTTTACAAAGTGTCATGTGTATTTTCTCAGTTTTTAGTTCTTAAACTTAAGTTTCTTCTGTTGTAAAATGAGAATAGCCCCACCTCATAGGTTGTCATGGGAATTAAATAAACATATAAAGGATTTTAAATAGCCACAGACACATAATCTTGGCTAACACTTATTGGACACTTGCTATTATCTCTTCTTCTTTCTCTTTTACAGATAAGGAGAAACCTGAGTCTCACAGAAGTTAAATAATTACCCAAGATCTCACAACTAGAAAAGGGCAGAACCCGAATTAAAGCCCAAACAATCTGGAACTAGACTGACCTCTTAACCTATACCTTCAATAGTACAATTATTAAGACAGTAATGAAAAATGCCCCCAAAGTTTACGGCCTAGAATTACTGTGAATTCACTCATTCACCCGTCAAATGTTCACCGAGCACTGCAGTGGATTGAATAGTGTACCCCGCCAAAATTAATGTCCACCTGGAACTAAAAAATATAACCTTCCTTGTTTGGAAATAGGGTCTTTGTAGAGGTAACCAGGTAAAATTTAATTATCCTGGAATAGGGTGGGCCCTAAATAGTGTTCTTCGAAGAGACAGAAAAAGATACACAGACATGGAAAAGAAGGCCGTGTGGAGATGGAGGCGACATCGGAGTGATGTGTCTACGAACTGAGAAGTGCCAAGGAGAGACACCCAGCACCAGAAGCTAGGAGAGGCAGGGAGTGGTCTCTCTGAGTCTCCAGAAGGAACCAACCCTACTGATACTTTGATTTTTGACTTCTGGCCTCCTGAACTGTGAGAGGATAAATTTCTGTTGCTTCAAGCCCCTCTGTTTGTGATCATTTGACATGGCAGCCCTAAGAAACCAATACCAGCATCTGCTACGTGGCTGGAGTCACAGCAGTAAACAAAACCACACCCCTGCCCACACAGAGCTTAGCTTGCCTTCTGGTGAAGGAGACAGACAATAAACACGTGTAGAATACAATGACACGTGCTGTGCAGGGCTATGAGGAAAAATACATACGAAGCTAGAGAATGGCTAGGTGAGGGTGAGGAGGGTAGTCAGGGAATGTCTCTCTAGAGGGGTTTTAACTCAAATGAATCTGGACTGTGGAATTCCAGGCTACATTAGACAATATTTAATTTCATTTGACCTTAAAGAGCGTATTTTTTTCCTCTGCTCTCTTGTACTCACCGCACAGCAGTCATGGCAGTACCTCAGGCCACTCCTTCAGAGCCGTGGGGAGCCATGGGAACAGAGGCCGAACCCCAGTGTGAATCCCAGCACCACCAGTACCCCTGGCCAGGGCTGCCTCCCAACTCACCTCCTTCTCTGCTCTGACCCTGGCCTCCTTACAGACTTTCCTCCACACAGCAGCTAGGAGACAGTTATCTTAAAAGAACAATAACCAACAGCTATTCTCCACTTAAAACCTTCCACTGCTGCCCACTGCAACTCGAAGAAAATCCCAAGTGCGTACCCTGTCTATCAGGCGCCCTATGAACCGGCCCTAGACCGCGCCTCCCTGTCACTCATGAAGCTCCAGCCGCGCCAGCCCTCCTGTCGGTCCCGCCGCCCTGCCAAGCATCTCCCACCTCAGTGAGTCTATGCTTGCAGCTTTCTCTCCCTCACAGACTTTTCCCTCAGATTTTCAAGTCACAGTCACTCAGGTCACAGCTCAAATGACCCCATCTCAGAGGGACTTTCCCAAGTAAAGTAACTAGTGCCTTTTCACCCTCCTCCTTCATCACTTTCTGTAATATTTCTCTCATTTTAATACCACTTATCATACGTGAAATCATGTTCGTTTTATTGTGTATCTATTTCCTGCCTGCTTTCCTCCACTCCTTAGCAGCTCCCCGAGAGAAAGGATCACCATCATCTCCAGGAGGTAGAAAGTTCCATCCTGCAGCAAAGGCATCTGTTGACTGAATAAATGAATGAACGGTTGTGTGACTTTGGGTTAATTAATTAAGCTCCAAGCTACTAGCCAGCAAAACAGCAAACTGCTTAACTGTCATTCCCTCAGTCGCCTTCCTCTGCTCACTAAATTCTTCTGCACAAATCAGAAAGAAAACTTAGCAAGAACAGAAGTCCAACAAGCAGACATGAACTAGGCTTCAGGTTTGTTTATTAGGCCAAGACTGAAATACATTAAAAGAGCTACCCCACTTGGACACCTAAACATTCATATTCTTTAATATTCATTTTATGGTAGAGTAAGGTAAGGACTTGAGGGTAACAGCTCTAATTTAGAGCTTCTGAACTGGGCTGAAACACCAACCCAGGAACTCTAACATTGAGAAAGGTAAAAAAAGAAATCTAAAATTAAAACAAAAGTACCATAAAGAAAGGGATGACTGCCCTTCCACTTTAGACACCAGCTAATACTTAATTAAGGAGCATAACATTAAACAAACTAAGTCAGTAAAAATTTTAAAATCCTTCTTTGTACGTCTGTTTAAAACATACTTCTACCCTTTTTAGTGCCTATCAACTACCATGTTTTACACCAAGCATTAGAGTTTCACACACTGATAAAATTATAGGCTCCTGAATATTTTAAATAGTAAATATTCTAGATTAAAAATTTGGTATGAAAAAATTTAATGAAAACATTAATTATACAAAAATTAAATAGCAAAATCATTTAAAATGACTTACAATTGAAACATATTTGGCTGGCTTACTGATATTTCTCTATCAGCTTGTTTTCATAAGAACTATTTCCAGCTGGAAAAAAAAATCTATAGGATCACAGTTAGAAGAAATGAAAATAAAGTACATAAAGCTATTCATAAGCCCTGTGCTCAGTATATATTGCTCATAAATATTAGTTTTTTTTTATTACTTTGAAAAAACACAAACAAGTTTTACAAAACATTCCAACTTCAGTTAAAAGCTTCTTACACAAGAAATAGCCATATGTGAGAAATCTAGCTTGGCATTTTTTGAAAGCAATTATTTTTTCCTCTGAGGAACATATTACATAAAATTGTATTTCTATAACTGATAAAAATTCCTAATAAACCAATTTCCGGACTCTAATTATGTAGCTTTGTGTTACAATTTAAGAGGTCTTTT